AGCTCCAGTTCACACCAGTTCCAGAAAGAGGGCAAAAACAAGGAATCCAGGCAACTCAGCCTGCGGGGCGCGGTCCGCCATAACCAGCGCCTAGACCTCAGGGAGGCACGCTCCACACTGGGCGAGTGAAGCTGCCCACAGCTGACAACGTGCAAGGGATTCTGAAAAGTGTCCACCTCCTTGGGAAGAGGGATGGAGCAGGGGGCGTCCCCCTGTGGCTCTGAAGCTTGTCCGATCACGAATGCTGGAGAAAGAACACAAGCAGGAGACTGAGCCACTGGCCACGCGCAGAAATGCTGAGGCCGTGCCCATGGCTTACCTGTGGATCGGTCAACAGTGGCTAATGGGCATTGCCCGGCGGCGTGGGGTGGGCCTCTGGTCTCCTCTGAAGAGGTGAGGTGTCACAGACCTACCTCCTCGGGACCAAGTGAGAAAGAGCCACCAGCGCAAAGCTATTTCTCAGACCCCATACAGGGACATCCACATCCCAGCAAGCTGGTGCGGCTGCTGGCTTCGGTGTGGTGTAATGGAAGATCACAGGCCCCGGGGGCAGGCGACCCGGCTCTGAACCCCAGGCCCACCTCTTATTGGCTGTGGGATCCTCAGAAATCTCCTTGAGCTCTGGAAAACGGAGTAGGCGCTACTATCCAGGCTCAAAGACTGGCCATCATCAGAAGCGCCTCACTAAGGCTAGTACCTTTTTCTACAGCACCTGGAGCACATCTTTCTCCTTCCTCTCTGGAAGCCACCAGGCAAATGGCTCTGGGACTTACTATTCTAGCAGCCAGCACCTTCTACAGGACCCTCGTCTGCCAAAGTTTTCCAAAAATCCCTGCTTTTTCCATCCTTCCTTGCAGCAAAGTGCGCCTTAGGGAAAAGGCAAGGAAATGTGGTGTGCACGTGAATCCAGGATGTACAGGGAACGGGGAGCAACAGGCCCTTGCCCCTGCTGCAGACAGACCCCCGGAACCGCCAGCCTCAAGAGCATTTCTGAGCACCCCTCCTGTTCACTGCACCAGAACCATCACAATGACACTCAGCCCTCATATCGTATACCTTTCGGTTCCAAAACATTGGACAAACGGTAATGCATCCAAAAGCCATAAGAGAAATTAGACTTTCAAAAACCAAGGGTGTTAAGAGTACTGGAGGTTTCCAAATGAAGCCCAGATTTCAGGGGTCAGTGCAAGCAAAGAAGGCCTCAGGAATAACGCATCTACCTCGCCAAAGTCGCCTGTTCATTGCTGGGGAAACCGGCAGGAACAATGAAAACACATCCCAGAGCCAACCAACAGATGCGAAAGAGGCACTTGCTGGTGGTGGCTGCCCAGAGGGCCGTGAGAACTCTGCGCCAAGCCCTCCCTCCTGGCCTCATCCCCATGGCAACCCCCAGGCTCTGTACAATGCTCTTTCTCTTGAACTAGCAGCCTACCTCCGTCCTGCACTGCCCATCCCCTGGTCTCCATCCCTGAGGGTTGGCGCACCAAGAGGCTCCCTGGGCTCCATAGCGGGCGGCTTGCCTCAGCTCCTGGCAGGCCCAGCTGTGAGCTAAAACTTACAGCCAATGGTCGGGAGCATAGGATAGAAAGTTCCGGGGCTCTTGCCGATTTCTGCTATCACTTATCCTTTTTGAGAGAAGTGGTACAGGTTTTCTCCATCTTCTTGAAACAAGAACAAATAAACCACTCCCCCCTCCCCATCCCACTTTCCATTCATCTTCTCCATCAGCCTTCCATCTCTGACTCAGCGCTCAGGGCATCTGTCCTCAATGGTCCTCGCAACCGGCAAACAAGTTTGTGAATTGCGCACTGAACACAACACATCACACCATCTGATCCCCCACCCCGCCATAATCCTCCAGCCGCTATGATCCTCAACCTCCCTTTCACAGGTGAGAAAAATGAGATTCAGAAGGTTATGTGACTTCCCCAGTGTGACTGGGCTCATGGGGCCACACCAACTTCAGGGGCACTAAGTTAGCGATTCGAACGGTGTCACAACCGGTGGCCAAGCAGACCAAGAGGAAGGGGCAAGTTGAGCAGGTGGGCAACGGTATTAACGATTTGTTTCTGGGGCGCCTGGGTGGTGCAGTCGGTTGGGCATCTGACTCTTGGTTTGGGCTCAGGTCATGCTCTCAGGGTTGGGGGATCAAGCCCCAAGTCAGGCTCCATCACACTCAGCAGGGAGTCTGCTTGAGATTCTCTCTCCCGTTGCCCCTCCCCCCACTCACACTCTCGAAATAAATAAATAAAATCTTAAAAAAAATAAAGACTTGTTCTAGGAACAATGGAATACCTACCATATGGCTTACATAAATTTTGGCTTCATCTCAATATGCTACTGACCAAAGGACGACAAGAGACACACATAGCAGGGTTACCATTTATACAAGGTTCGAAAACAGGCACAATTCAATACTGTTGAGAAGTCATTAGCGGGGGCACCTGGGTGGCTCAGTTGGTTAAGCGTCTGCCTTTGGCTCAGGTCATAATCTCAGGGTCCCGGGATCGAGTCCCACATCCGGCTCCCTGCTCATCTGGGAGTCTGCTTCTCCATCCCTCTCTGCCGCTCCTCCCCCTGGTGATCATGCTCTCTCTCTAATGTTCACTGTCCCTCACTCTCTCTAAAATAAACAAATAAAATCTTAAAAAAAAAAGAAGGCATTAGCCAATGATGAAACCAGAGACACACAAGGAAGAAAATGACCGCTGGAGTCAAGGTGGGGCTCTCATTTTCGGTGGGAGGAGGGGCTTCTGAGTGTAGGTACCCTGGAAAGACCGTTTATCTTAGGACTATTTATTAAACATCCAAGTTCCAAGCACTCTTCTGTATGTATGTCCTATTTCACAATGTAATGCAAGAATTACTAGAGAAAAAGAATGTGGAACCACTGAGTGACCTCACAAAATCCATGTCATTTCTGATTCCTAACCCTTCAAAACTATCTCTTACACCCCAAAAATGCCAATGGAGGTAAAGCACAACTTCCAAGTTTATCAGTCACTTCTATCCCCAGGGCAATTAACCCACTAGAGGGGCACTAGAAAGATCTAGAAAGATCTAGACCTGTATCACCTCAGATAAGAAGGACTGTTAACAGCAACCCTGGGCCTGCTCGATCTTCTTCTCTCCAGGAGGAATAAACAAAGGACTCATCTCCTGGTCAACACCTCTTTGTCAAGCTCTTTCTAGCGTCATCCACTGTTTGACAGAATTTACACTGAATACCAAACACTGTTTAGAGCGACCAGGTCCCAGCTGAGGGGCCGGGGGGCTTCTGCTCTCCTGGGAGCCCCGCTTTCTGTTCCCTCCTGTGTGAGGGACGTTACCCCAGGTGGCTGGGGGCAGAAGAGGCTCGGGATGCCGGGTACTAGATACAGATGACCTGGCTTCAAGTCCCCGCTTAGCCGTTCAGTATTGGAAAGGCCTTGTGAACACTCCGGCAAGTATAAGAACAGATCAGACTCAAGATTCCTCATCTGGGATAAATGTGGGACAATGGTTCCCGTTCTCTACAAAGATGCTGTACAGAACAGAAAGAACAGATGTGAGCCTTCTGAAGCCTGGTAGGTAGTCAATAAGCAGTATTACTGTTATCAAAAAACAAGCAAACAAAAAAACAATGACACAGGGTGTCCAGGTGGCTCAGTCGGTTAAGCGTCTGCCTTCAGCTCAGGTCATGACCCCAGGGTCCTGGGATCGAGTCCTGCATCAGGCTCCCTGCTCAGCAGGAAGCCTGCTTCTCCCTCCACGCCTACCCCTGCTCGTGCTCTCTCTCTCTCTAGCTCTCAAATAAATAAAATCTTAAAAAAAAAAAAAAAAACAATGACACTGTAGCTCTATTATGGAGGATAAAATGAATTTTCTGGTCTCCCATCCAACTTCTCACACTGTACGGCTGGTTGCTCTTGGGACAACTCTTGATCGTTTCTTCTCATATGATTGGAAAGCACAAAAATACTTATCTTAAAATCCTTATGAATCCTTAACAGAAGATTTATCCTTAACAGAAGATTTAACTCCACTACCAGAAACAATTCCTGTGTCCCAACTTCCTTACGACGATGAAACACAAGGAGAAATAAAATTCAAAATTTACAAAAACGGAGACACAGGTCAATTATCTAGTGGCCAATCTATAATTGTCACATTAATTAAGACCAGTAAGAGACACACATAATCACAACGTACACTCTCCAAGAGCCCAAATGTAACCGGAGAGCTTCTAATCTCTTCTTCTGTAAACCCGCCTTTCCTGGCAATAGCAAATGGACTTTCTGACCAGTGAAGGTGTTCATAATTAGGAAAATATGCAAAAGGCAGGCAAAGTCAAGAATAAAGGTCCTAGACCAAACAATACTCCAGCTGATCTGCAAATAGTAACGGACTAGTTTAGCTCCTGTTCACATGGGGGATTTCTACTGTTATAGGAGAGTTTTCTACTGGCAAGTTAGGAGAGGGGTACAGATGACCCAAATGAGTTAAACTCAAATCCAGTTACACTATTTTCATTTTTTTAGATATAAACCCTATAGTAAGGAGTGACACAGACCTTTGTTCAAAGGTGTCCCATGGGGACGCCCGGGTGGCTCAGTCAGTTAAGCGTCTGCCTTTGGCTCAGGTCATGATCCCAGGGTCCTGGGATCGAGCCCCGCATCAGGCTCCACGCTCAGCGGGGAGTCTGCTTCTCCCCCTGCTTGTGCTCTCTCTGACAAATAAATAAAATCTTTAAAAAAAAAAACCCCAAAACAACAAAGGTGTCCCATGGTAAAAAAACATCTGATGACATTTAGCAGAGATCAAAAGCCCACACCCTGTGATGTTGATCTGGATTTTAGTTTTTATGGAGAGCCAGTTTGCAGACCCTCCATTGCCGCTGCCTGTTCTTTTCTTAATGATCCCAACTCGTCCCAGTAAGAAGGCACAAACATAACCCCCCCAACACGCTGAACAGCCTTCTCTTTGCTTTCCCCACCTGGACGGTGTTCCACCATACCTACCATAATGGTGTGTTCCGGAAATCGGGCACGCACCAGCTTCACGAACTCCACAAAATGTTCTGAATACCCGTTGGCCACATCCAGGCATATGAACTTGACCTGCGGCACTGCTTCCAAGATGTCGCTCATCTTTTCCAGATCGCTCTTCCCACTGCCCGAACTCACAGCTATGTGCTGCACCAAAATAAACCAAGAGGCACAAGACGTGAGGAGTCAGGAGCATTCCAAAGTCAGACCCTGCCTCCGTCCATTCTGCTCTCCTGGGGAGACTGCTGTGAGTGTTTGAGGTTCACCCAGACCAAAGAGACACACGGTGGATCTGCTCAAGAAACACGCCACAGCGGAGGTAAAGGAGATTCGTCCTCGGCCACAGAATCTTCCAGTAAACAGATTTTTAATTACTCAGGAAACCTACTCCTTGGCCTTTCCTTAATTTCGTCACGCTGTGTGGAACTCTGAAACTGTGGAGCTGCTCGTGCGAATTCTGCTCTTCCTGGAGGAGTGGCAGGAGGGACGAGGTCCTCCCACCAACGCCGTGGCTGTCACCCTCATGGCTGGCACAGGGAACAGGAGAGTGGGGAAGATGTCTACACTCTTCTGATAAAACTTCCTGCTTTCATTTTGACTCTCCATACAGTACCATCACAACATGCAAATCGTAACCCACTCAAAAAACTGTAAGACTCAGGGTTCCTATGAAAAGGGCAACACGGCCAGAAGGTGCAAGACCGGACAAGCCTGGGATGCTCTTTCCCAGCGGCACCTGTGTGGACATCTGAAGCCACCACACCCTCCTTGGTGATACCCTCTTCCCCAATCTCCACAGCACCGGCGGTCTCCAACCCACGCCTCTGTTCCTGGGAAAATCTGCTCTCTAGGATAAGATTTGTTTTTAGTCATGGATGCCTTCGTGCAACTAAGTCGTGGTTTTGTGCCCAGGGTCAGCATCTCACCTTCTATAAGAGTATTTGTATTTTGTGACACTTCTCTAAGCCACATGCCACCAACGGGGGGGGGAGGGGACGGGGCGGGGCAGCATATCTGTATACCCTTTGTGATTCCCCCAAAATCACAACAATGTATTAACAACACAGATACTGTGTGTAAACAGCCTGGTAATTTGACACATGTTTACTCCAGTTTTCTGTGTTCGGATCAGTTTTCACTCCTCATGCTGCCAGTCTGCCCAGGGCTGGTCCAATCCATCCCTCCCGCTAGAGCTTTGCTACCTTTTCTGTTTCCCTTTCATTTCTGTTAAAGTTTGGCAAGTGGAACTCAAGATTGGTTCATTTCTTTCAGTGTTACCAAGTTTTGGACATTTTCCCCTTTTTAATTAGTCTCTAATTTGGTCGGGGGCAGAGTAGCAAGTCAAATGATCATGCTTGGTAATGAAGGACCAGGTTCTAATTAACAACACGTTGCCAAAAACCCCTGCACAGGAATCAGAGGTATGACCCTCCTCCAAAAAAAATCATCGCTCTCCAAACTTCTTCCACGAAGGAAAGACAGCGAAGCAATTAATATTCATTCAGACACGAAATGGAAAAATGAAGGACTTGATATTGAGCCAGGATTACTGTATCTCCAAAAACAACCTTTCCGCTAATCAAAATCCACACAGAGCACAGCCAAGGAAAAAAAAAGACGCCAGTATAACTTCAAAAGCGTCTAAGATGAAGTCGTTTTCCAATCACAAATGATCTGATCACAGAGAAGAGCGTCTCCAACGCAAAGAAACTTCTCTGCAGGCACTGGCTCAGAAACCACCCAAATGTGCCAGGTGGCAAGTCAGGTGCGTTACGTAATAATAAGAGTTTTTGTTATTTTCAAACTGCCTTCTTCTTTTTTTTTTTTTAATAACAGCTTTACTGAGATATAATTACATACCACACGCTTCACCCATTTGGAGTGCGCGATTCAATAGTTTTTCGTATATTCAGCGTTGTGAAACTGCCATCACATTTTTAAAACATTTGTCCCTCCCACACGCTTTGGCCCTCACCCGCCCCCCTCACCCGCCCCCCAGCCTTAGGCAACCTCTCATCTACTTTGTCTCCGTCGGTTGGCCTATTTTTGACATTTCATGTAAACAGAAACATATTTTCACATCTGGCTTTTTCACTCGGCAAAATGTTTTCAAGATTCATCATCCGTGTTGTAGCATGAATCAGGGCCTCATCCCTTTTTATGGTTGAATAATATTCTGTCGTATGGACATACCAGCTTTTGTTTATTCGTTCATCAGCTCACGGACACTCAGGTGCTTTCTACCTTTCCGCTCTCACGAATAACACCGCTATGAGCATTTGTGTAACGTTTCTGTGTGGACACCTACTTTTCTGCCTGCGAGGTCTACACCTAGAAATGCAATCGCTGGGTCGAGTTGTAGCTCTGCTCTCTGACGTTCTGAGTAACAGCCAAACGGAGTGCCAAAGCAGGTGCACTATTTACATACCCCCCAGCAATGCGGGAGGGGTCCAATCTCTTCACATCCACGCCAACGCTCGTTAGCATCTGTCTTTAGGATTACAGCCTTCCTAGTGGGCATAGTGTTTATTCAACTTCAAAACAACCTGTTATAATTCGATGTTTTTCCTCCGTCAGAGGACTGTTCAGACCGGATGCACCCCTTGCAGGAAACATAGGTCTTCCACAGGCTCTGTAACACCAATTTTTTCAAGGAAAAAACGCCCCAGATATTCCTCGTAGAGAGATCCTAGTATTTTCCAAAATTCGATCCAGGGCAGGTTTCCCTGGCAATGATGGAAGGGCAGGGCCCACTACTACCTTTCCACGGGACTCTCTCTAGGGACTCTGCTGGTCTGTCCGCTTCCAATTCAAATCCTGGCCAACCACCCTGAAGTGTCTCTCCCCCGCCCCCCTGCAAGAAATGTAACTTATAACTGGAGTGTAGTCATACCTGCAGACATTCTGGGTGATGAGCCGCAAAGAGCTTCCACTCGTCCAAGGTGTAGTGCTTATGAATTGCCGTGAACATGGAGTGCTAGGGGACAAAACAGCACTGTTAGGACAGGAAGTCAAGCGAGCTCACTCCCTTCCCTGCATGGGCCAGGGGGGACCTGACAACACAAAAGAATGGGGTGTTCCTTCCAGTTCATGCTTCACTTGCTTTAAATATGCTGAGGGCCAAGAACAGACATATGTGTCACCGGTAAAATCACACAACCGTGTTTTCCATTCTAATCTGATCAGACAACCCTGCATCCGGGACTCAGGAGGCTCTGCCGGGAGACCAGGGAGGGAAGAAGAAGGGTTCTCAGGGCCTTGTCCCGGCCCCACCGGCTGAGTCAGGCCCAGAGCATTGTGCAGCAGGTGTCCTGCCCCGATGAGCACCCGAGGGCCAACTGCTGATGGCCAACCCAAAAGAACCTCAACTCATACCTGAAAGCTTTGCTTTGTGTTCAGCCTAAACATGTCTTGTTAAAAGCTAAACCCAACAGGCAGTTGGGATTCTGGAGGGAAGGAATTCGATAAATCGTAATCCCACATCCATGACTACCAACCCAATCCAACATTGACACTTTTGCGCAAGCACCTCGTATGCCATTTCGTTTACTTCTCCGAGCAACTTCGTACAGTCATACTAGCTTTCTGGACAGAAACGGAGCTTAAGCAATTTAACAACAGCTTGGCCATAAAGGGGCAAAGGCCAGAATCAAACTCAATCTGACTACAGAGCCCAGGTTCCTAACCCCTCTCCTAACTTCACTGGGTCTGTTTTCCTATCTACATTTTCCCACTCTAAAATTCCATGCCTTTATGAACTCGCACTAAATCAGTGGATCCTAGAAGCAGAAAATTCATAATACACACACACAACACACGCGCACGCGGTTTCAGGGTACGCTACTTTACTGTGTTTTCAATGGACACCGTTCTCAGATGACGGGGAGTCCTTCCTGTGAAAGTTCTACATTTTTTATGGATTCACAACTCGATATGGGAGTTAATCTGGACTACTGATTCACTCCGATTCCACCCACTTTCACACTAATACATAATTCATTAGTAGCGTTGGCTGATCACAGAGCAGAGCAAGGGAAAGACAAGGAGAAAAAAAAATACAAATTTCTTTAGCAATTAATTTATTAGCCTCCGGGCCGAAGCTCAGTGGGGGCTGTGGGCTGACAGAGACTACAACTGATCACGGAGCCAGACAGACCACCCCCTACTCCATTTTTCGAATTCATCATCGGTTTGAAAATCTTCCTTCTAATCACTGGCTAATAATGAATCCTTGCACCTCCTGAGGTTTGACTTGCTGCCCACAGCGAGAAGCTCTTTCAACTAATTGGATTTCTCTTTCCCCTCGGCAGGCATTATCGATGGAAAAAGACACACACACTCTGTGCACATCAGAAGCAAACATTTCACATCTGGGATGAATAAGGTGCGCTGCACCTCAGACCCAGCCGCGTGGGACAGAGGTCCTGCCCACAAACGGCTTTTTCTTTATTTCTCCCAATGCCACGATACCAGCTACTCACTTTATAGGGAATGAGACTGGTCAATTGGCCAGAAGGGACCTTGAGCTTCTACTGTTAGCTGTCAGTGTGCGTGGGGAGGCAAATCCCTTATTCTGGAGTCAGTCGGGGTTTGAATCTTGAATCTACTGGACTGAATGCCCTGAGCCAAGGGACCTCTCCTCTCCCTCTCTGCCTCAGTTCTGTAAAAGGAACCCACCCGGAGGGGCTGTGCCAACATTACACACATTCTATCCACTGTTTGGCACCTACGTGCTCAACAAATGTTTTGTAATAAATGTTACTGCACAGGCTGCATATGAAGCAGTTCTGCCTTAATTTCAAAGGCAAGGTCGCTCTTCCATAATATGACACCAGTCTAACTTCATAAGATCTCTAGTTTCTCAAACTAGCATGAGCATTTTCAAGGAAGAAGGGGATGCAGATCTAGACCATTTCATGGAATGCGAAGTCCACACTCCATCCATCTTCTAACTGCAAGGGGAAGACAAGAATTGCCCCCAGCATCCATCAGACTCAGAACTAAACAGTCTGGCCACAGTGAATGACCCAAAGCGTTTCAATTTTCTCCCCTCCTCCTTGTGTCTGAACAAGTCCAGGATGGGCTCCTGACAACCTGTCCAGGGTGAGCAGCAGAGGGAACAAAGCCCACCTCTCACCTGGGACATCACCACCGCCATCTCGAATGTCCCCACGGTGTCCATGTTGGCCACGATGATGGGAATCCCTGAGTAGGTCTGCTTCGAATTTCGAAACGTGAAGGTACGCTCAAGATCCACCTATTGGCAGAAAGGGAAAAGGAGTGCTTTGTTCTTTAAGTGGTTTGTGAAGAATTTCGAGAGTTTGGAGCAAGGAAAGAACAAAAAGGAAGTGCAGATCCCTTGGTCCCTTGGTCTCTTAGGGGCTGAGCCAGGTGTTCCAAAGACAGGAGAGTTCCTCGGGAGACCAAGTGACAGGTTGTCATCCAGAGACAAAGCTGAACCAGCCTCGTTATGATCCTCAAGCGCCAGTACAAGGCACCGGACGTCCTGCCATCAAACCAAACCTCGGAACCAGAAGCTTGTCTCCTTCAGTAGCCTCTCCCCACCCACAGCCACCTTCTGTCCCCAGCCTGATCCATCCTGGCCCTAAATACCCACATACATGCTATCTTCACCACTTCCAAGCACCAGAGGGACCATTCCCCTTCTGGAAAAATTCACTCCACTCTTCCCTGCCAAGCATGGTTTTCCCTTTCATTCTTACTCTCAGAGAGAACCAGACACTACAAATTCACCCTGCAGTGAGCTGCAAACCATTAATCCCTTAACCTGTCAACCTTCTCAGCGGCTTTGTGATTCTGAGCATCTTTCAGAGAGCTGAGAGGAAGTACTTGCAACCATACGTCTCCGTATATCAACACTTGCTCCTTTGACACGCAAATGGTGGAGGGAGCGCCCTCCCATTCTACTGTAACTCCAACTTCAGGGCATTTGTGGCTAAGCCAGCTATCAGGAATCCAGAACTAGAGCTAAGCCAAGATGGGGGGCTGAGCAAAAGCCGTGTGCTAGGGCCCCACGCTCACCAAGAGCTAGCAGAGTCAGAACCACTTCTTTGACCCAAGCAGATCCAAGGCTTACAGGCTCTTGGATCCATTTTTCACCCTTTTCCTGCCCCCCTCTTACCAGAGGAAGGCCACCCTTCCCCCACCCCACGCCACATCAAGGCTCCACTGCCCAGGTTGGTTTCTGGCTGGGTTTAGCCAATGAAGAAACTGGGTAGGAAACTAAAGGATAGTGCGGGACAAGGGAGGGGGGCCTGTATGTAGTCAGGGCATGTCTCCCAGAACCCTCTGCCTTGGCCTGCATGGTCTTGGTTCCAGCTTTCACAGAGTGATCGCAGGACTTGGGCTCCAGTAACAACACCTCCTCCCCTCTGGAAGTGGTTTTCCACTTTTGCCAATCTCTGGGGTGCCCCAATATCTCATCGGGCATGTCAGCGGAGTTCGGAGAGCTTGCATTAAATTCCCTGTTTTACATGTTCAGCACTGTTTGAGGTGGACCTTGACAGGCACAAGACCATCCTGGAAGTGGGTGCCTCCCCAAAGGACAACCGGTGGGAGACAGAGGCGTGCATCTTGAGCCTCTGAAATAATTCCGACCTACATTAATCGTGGCTTCATGAGTACATCGGCAATCATCATTTCCAACCAGTGTTTACCTACCCTTCCCCTATCCCTTTTCATTTGAGACAACTTTCCCTTTGCAATCACATGTCAAAAAACACCAAGGGACACCTCGGGCCATTTAGCCTTTCCACACATCTCCCTTGTTCTCTACACAACTCCACGTCCAGGAGGCTTCCCGGGTGAATGACGCCATAGGTATGTCTGCTCTGGCCTTAAAAGCGAAGATGAGGCGAAATGAGATGCAGTCACTGCACGAGCAGGTGGGGCAGCTCACTCACTCCCTTCGCTGCTTCCTTCATTATGATTCCTGGCTCTACTTCAGTGAAGCAAGTTCGATTTACATTCTGAGAGCTAACTGAAGGAGTCTATCAGTTGCAACTTTCTGTGCTCCTGAGGGCACTCTAACATTCTGGCTTTAATGGCCTAAAATAATCAGAATCCCTAGGTCTCAAATGACTCATACTCCTCCCAAGAATAATGGGGAGGGCTGCTACACTCTGCACCCAGCTGAGCTCACAGTGGGTTTTTCTGGGCACCCCAAGACCCTATCCACAGTATGGAAAAAACAGAGCTCTTCATGGAAAAAGGTCAGCCTTGATAGTGAACTCCTGCCCTTATTTCTAGTCTTCATGTGGTAGATTCCACACTATCCTTAATTCTAAGAATGAGAAATAAAATTATCTTCCCCAAGTAAGAATAAACTATTGGGACTACATAAAAATAAGAAGTTTTGGGTTGCCTATGTGACTCAGTCGGTTAAGCATCTGCCTTCAGCTCAGGTCATGATCCCAGGGTCCTGGGATCGAGCCCCATGTCTGACTCCCTGCTCAGCGGGGAGCCTGCTTCTCCCTCTCCCTCTGCCCCTCTCCCGGCTTGTGCTCTGTCTCTGTCTCTCTCTCTCGAATAAATAAATAAAATCTTTAAAAATTTTTTTAAAAATAAAAAGCTTCTGCACAGCAAAGGAAATAATCAACAAAACAATAAGGCAACTTATGGAATGGGAGAAGATATTTGCAAATTATATATCCGATAAAGAGTTAGTATCCAAAATATATAAAGAACTTAATCAAACTCAACACCACAAAAAGGAATAATCCAATTAAAAATGGGCAGAGCACCTAAGTAGACATTTCTCCAAAGAAGACATAGAGGTGACCAACAGACACATGAAAAGATGCTCAACATCACTCATTATAAGGAAAAAGCAAAGTAAAACTACGAGATATTACCTCACACCAATCAGAATGGCTAAAATCAAAAAGATGAGAAACGAGATGTTGGCAAGGATGTGAGGAAAAAGGAACCCTCCTGCACTGTTGATGAGAAGGCAAACTGGCACAACCACTCGAAAATAGTAAGGAGGTTCCGCAAAAACTTAAAAATAGAACTACCCTATGATCCAGCAATTGCACTACTGGGTATTTACCCCCCAAAATACAAAGACATTAATTCAAAGGGATACATGCACCTCTATGTTATAGCAGAATTAGTCACAATAGACAAATTATGGAAACAGCCCAAGTGTCCACCAACTAATGAATGGATAGAGAAGATATGATATATATACACTATGGAATATTACTTGGCCATAAAAAAGAATGAAATCTTGCCATTTGCAACAACATGGATGGAGCTAGAGAATATAATGCTAAGTGGAATAAATCAGAGAAAGAAAAACACCATATGATTTCACTCATATGTGGAACTTAAGAAACAAAACAAATGAACAAAGGAAAAAGAGAAAGAGAGACTAGCCAAGAAACAGACTCTGAACTATAGAGAACACATTCAGGGTTCCCAGAGGGAGGGGGTGGGGGATGTGTGAAACAGGTGATGGGAAGTAAGGAGGGCACTTGCTGTGAGGAGCACCAGGTGCCTACGGACTTGCTGAATTACCATATTGTACACCTGAAACTAACATTACACTGTATGTTCACTATACAATATAAAACACTATATATTTTAAAAAATAAAAATAAATTAAAAAAAATTTTTAATTATCTTCCCCGATCTTATCCATACAGACAAAAAGACACACACACCCCCCTCAAAAAACACACCACTTGTTCACTGAGAGAGATGTTTCAAATATTCCAGCCTCCCAGGAACAAAACTTGGCATTTAATCTGCCACAGCTGGTCAATGCACCAAATATAGCACCTCCAAGTTCCCACTCTGCTAAGCCTGATTTGCAAGGGAACATAGAGTCATAAACTAGCCCTCCCCCACCTCAAAAACACATGTTTCTGCTGCCCTTTAAACACACCTTCATTAAAGTCAGTCCTACAGCCCAACACTAGGGGGCCAAAAACAAAATGGGGACCCACCTACCCCATTCTAAAGACCTCAATGTTATGATCAAGCTAACAGGCTTACCCAGAAGCATAAGCCTTCTACATCGTGTTCTATCCTCCCACCTTGACAAACACAATTTCATTAATCACCTGGAAAGTACCAGTACATGGTGTCATGGGGAGCCAGTCCCTGGCCTCCGGTCCACACCCTCTCCTCGTCCCACACAAATCCTGACGTGCACACACAGACACCCCAGTCTGCACACTAAGCTCCATGCACACACGCATCCACGCTCACGCACAGCTGCTGCTGGACCGCTCTCTGAGGTTGGGGGTGGGCACACCAGCAGCATGGCAGGTCCTTGGGAAAACACACCTTGGAAAGGAGCCCTTGCCTGCCCTGAAACTAGCCTGAAGTCATCTGGGCAAGGAAATCCAGGATCCTGAGTATCTGGAACATGACCTACAGGATAAGCCTGGCCCACCGGCCCTGTCCAGTGAGGAAGAGGGTACAGTGGAGCAGAAGGGCGGTGTGGGTTAGGGGCCCCTTTTGCCTAGATCTATAGGTGGTACTGATTGAAGCAATTCTCTTATTAAATAAATTACTATCTGTCTCTCCTGTAAAAGGCAAGTCTACAGGGAGAATCCCTCTTATTTTTATAGTCCTAGTGGCTCAAAAGTGTGGAAGAAATTAATATCTGACCAAGGGGTAAGAATGATATTGTATTTTCTGGGCAATGCTTGGTGGGCCCCAGCCCAGCTTTCTGAATGTTCTGTCCCCTGCAGGCTTCACCACCAGTGGGCAGGATCTGGAGAAGCTTGTGCAGATCCACAAACAGAAAGGACTCCAGCAGCTAGCCCAGAGCATCTGTGTGCACATCAGAATCATTGCAGGATGGTTTCCAAAATACACATGCTCATGCTGCTCCCAACTTAGTAAGAACCTCTGTGTTGGAAACAATATGTGTATTTTGGAGTGTCTCCCTAAGTGATTCGTTAAGAACAATTCTACTCAAACCCTCTAATTTTACAGAGCAAAATTTACGGAGGCTGTTATGGTTTGCAATGTGTCATCCAAAAAGATGCCAAAATGCCAACCAGCGGTACCTGTGAATTATAATAGGGCCTTTGCTGATGATCAAGGTTAGACAAGATCAGGTCCATCCCAGTATGACTGGTGTTTGCAAAATGGGAAAATGTGGACAGAATGGGAGAACGTGGTATAAAGATGAAGGCAGAGATGGGGAATGAGGCCTCTAAAAAGCAAGGAACACCCAAGACTGTGGGTAAACAACCAGAAGGTGGGAGAGAGAAATGTAACAGATTCTCCCTCACAGCACTCAGAAGGATCTAGCCTGTGGACACTTTGATCTGGAGCTCCTAGCCTCCTGCACTGTGAGACAATAAATTTCTCTTGTGCAAGTGTGTGGAACTTTGTTACAGCGGCCCCCATGAAACTAACACAGAGCCAAGGTACTAAAATAGAGCAGAGGTTGGACTAAAACCCAGGTCAGCTTGCTCCCAGCCCTATATTCTCTTCACTGCCATGCTCTGATCCCCTACGGGCCAACCTGCTGTGGACCCCCAGGCTCCATCCGACTTCCCTGGATCTGCTGGTAAAAAAAATAACTAGTGAGTTTTAACATTGTGTCAAGACTTCTCTGTCCTAGGACAAGTGGCCAATTTTCTGCTGCAAATTTCTTCATTGTTGGACTTCCAAAGTTATGGCTGTGTTAGTAAGTTTTTTGGTTTTGTTTTGTTTTTTTTTTTTTAATCTTACCCTAGGTTAAGGGCTCCAGTGGGACACCAGAGCCAGGAATGCGTTCTCAAGAAGAACGGACCAGGGAGTCAAGGAATGACTCGACCTCCCCAGTGTGTCAGATAAAGACAAAGTTCTTGCTTCAATCAACAAACATGCGACTTCTTTTGAAAGGATTACCCAAAGGCTCCCATGCAGCCCTGTGGGACTTTATTCTTATGTGCCAGGGACTTGTATGGACAGTGGAGAGATGACCTCCTATCCGGCACAATCACAATTAAGGGAGCTGACCTCAAATTCATTTTATAGGACGCTTGCAGAAACGCCCCTACAGGAGTCCTAGAACGTCTAAGTGGGAAACCACTCTGCCTTTCTCTCCATTTCCTGCTCACTGCCTGATGATCCAAGAGCAGACCTAGCTCTCAGCAAAACTGTTACAGTGATAAATCTTGTCAAGAGTCAAAACTCCCTTCCCAGCCAGGTCTGCTCTGACAGGCTAGATTTCTCTCCCCTGGCTCCATGCAACTCTGCTCACTGGTTAAGCTCAAAGGCTGTCTTTTTACCATTTTAGTTTCCAATTTGCATGCAGGTATTACCTCTGTCAGGTGACGCATATCCTAGACTTCTATCTGATCGCACAATGAAAAGTTTTGATCATCTCCCTCTAAGAAATTTCAGGCATCCACAACAAACTGAGAAAACACTGATTAGAAGCCTACGTAGATCTAGGGCCAACTAGATGCCTCCAACATCACCAAAGCAGGCAGATTATGGGATGCAACTAGCCAGGCACCTACACCATTAGGGGAACCAACTGGAAAGGCGATTCCAGTTAACTCTGGCTTCCAGGCACAGAGCTGGTAAGCACCCACAAAAATAGAAATATGAAAACATTTCTCAAGGGCACAGAGTTCTCACTGAAACATGTACATGGAGATTGCAGGGTGCCACTGGACACTGGGACATTAATAGTTTCAGTCAGCCTGAAGTATGAAACCAAATGATACATGACATCATACCATTCTCGGGAAAGAATAATTCATTCTATTACATAAATTCTAAATGTTTTACCTTCTCAAGATGCTGCCCGGCTCAGAAAATACGTATGATTTATCCTTGTTTTAAACATGTCATTTTTCTTAAAATCAAGTTTCTCTCTCCTAAGTGAATTTTGAACAGATACTGAAAGAATATTCAGGCCACCACCCACTATTCGTCTGCCCAGAATCCCCACATCTTGTCTTGTTCTGGCCTTAGGTACAGTCTACCTGCCACCCAAACTATTTTTCTTTCAAGGGTCTGCCCTGCTCTTGTGGCGCCTTTAAGGACGTGAGGAAGGACTAGAAGAGGGTAGTCCACTCTAGGGTGATGAGGCTTAAACCACTCCTGGCCTCTTGCAGTCCTGTGCGGTCCCAACCTCGCTGGCTCCAGCTGCCGCCCCTCTTGCTTGAGGTCACTTGTTCTGGTCACCGGCGAAAAGAGGACGTTTCCTTAATCTAAACCAGCCCTCGGCTGGCAACACCAGGCACTGCAGTCAGGCCTGGGCACAGGCGCGCAGCCGAGTTCCTTGCAAGGGGATTTATTTATGATTCTGTGGCGCTGAGCCTTTGGAAGAGTGTGCTGGCTCGGCTTCCTCCTGTTTACTCCTGCAGCTCCAGCCTACAGATGGAGTCATTTCCTCACCTCCTTCTCCCGCTCTTAGAAGACCAGGCAAAGCCGTGGTCACCAGCATACCCTCCTCCGGGGGGACTCTGCTTTTCTGAGCAACTAGTTTATCCTTCAGGCTTTCACCTTCCTCATCCCCAGCAGGGGCATCACTCTCCCTCTCCCCTGGGGCTATTGCCGGTCCAGTAGCCACCTGTTCCTCAGGCTTTGATCTCATCAACACCGAACCAGCAAAACTGCCCAGGGTGTCTCTATTTGCCTCCCACCCCCACACGCCCCTACGCCAGCGCTTTCTGCTTCCCTAGAACTGGGCGGGACTGCAGCTGTCCAGTAAGCCGGGTGCCACCAGGCACGAGTCCTCAACCTCACTCCCAGCAAGGTCACTGAAACGTGGGAAGTAAACCCTGAACTTTTGCCGCCCTGGAGTTTGCCTGTTTTTTCAGACATTAAAAAAAAAAAAAAAATCCATTGCTGGAGCTGATTCTAGAGCAGCGAGCAGCAGTTCTCCGCACCGAGAGACAGTGCCAAAATCACAAAGCTCTCCAGTTGTTTGTCCTCTCCCTTTACACCTGGGCTCCAGGGGGTCAATTTCTCCCTCTATGCACCCCTCCAGCCACCCCCAGTTGTTTCTAAGTCAGTGGGCCACTTGATCTTTGTTCCTCTGTGGTCTAGTCCGCTGTGTACCCCCCCCCCCGCTGCCCACCGACCGGACGTATTTGGAATTTTACACCGGAGCTGGGTCCCTTAAAGATACCTCGAATCCTGGCACTGAACCAGCTGGCTTCCCACTTTCTCAGCAGGTGGGGAGGCCGGGGGGGGGGGCGGTCAGCATCCCATCCCTCAACAGACACAAGGAAGAACCGGCAAGGTTATCACATCCCACCTCCTTCCACCGTCCTCTCCCGAGCCACCCAGAAAACAAATCCCACCCCACTGCGGCTTTCGGAGGGCCCCACCTCGGCTCGGCTCCTGAGGCTGCTTCGCTTGGGTCGGAGCAGGACATCCTTAAAGTCCAGCTTGAGGTCTGCATCTATGCGGGGCATGGTGCGGCTCGGCGCGCGGAGGCAGGCGCCGCTACAGCTCGCAGCTCCTTCCTGCAGCGCGGGCGCCCGGCGCTGGAAGGGCGGGGAGAGGGGGGTGCCGGGGCGTGGGGGGGTGCCGGGGGCGTGGTGGGCGCGGGGCGGGGCGTGGGGGCGGGGCGTGGGGGCGTGGGGGCGTGGGCCCCCTTGCGGGTGACTTTTCGCGGCCGTGGGGCGCGCAGGCTGCGCCCTAGGCCGCTGGATCCTGCAGCCGCGCTCGGCCCGTCCTTCCCGGCTCCAGCTCACCGCGCCAGGGCAGTGGTGGAGAGGGGAGAGGGGTCTGGGGGGCCCGGGAGAGGTAGGCACAGACCAGTGGCTCCGAAATCTGCCAGCGGGACATTTTTAACAAGCCTCCCCCTCCCTCCCGCTTACAAGCCTTGGCTCGTCGTGGTGACCGAATTGGCGGGGGTCGCGGAAGAAGGGGGAATGCGCAGCGTCATGTGGAACACCGAGGTCCCCCCATAGGCAGGAGACTTGGCGTATGACCGCCTCACCCGAGGGAAAAGGCGGCTCCCCTGGGAGGTTTTGTTTCTTTCTCTAATTTCAAGCCCCGTGTGCCCATCAATCGCTGAGTCAGACCTTTGGCATGCCAAAGAATAAACCGTGGGGAAATCAGATAGGATTAAGGAAAAGTGTGTGGGCAGGTAAATCTATTTGGCAACAATGGGGAGGAGGCAGTTTCTGCCTCCCCCTCTGGATTTCAGGGGTGTGTTTGTTAGAATAAAAGCAGTGAAGTGTATAGTCAGCGCAGATCCTGGAGTTTGAAGGACCTGAGTCCCCTCTGAGGGTTACCTGTCATGTCAGTTTATTTTTTATTCACTTGTTGACTTGACTGGGAGGAGCCTTCCTTATACGTTATGGATGTGCTTAAATGCTTGCCCTGTGCCTTCTCAGTCGCTCAGAACAACCCACTGAAGAGGGAGCCACTTTGCAGATTAGGCAAGTGAGGATCACATTAAGGAAATGACTTGCCCATGGTGGCCTTAAAGTTAAATATAAATCGCTCAGTCATTAAAACTTATTGCAATCTTAACTAAAAGTGCGTAAGTCCAGAAACCTCTCTCTGCCTGGGTTCAAAATCTGACCCCACAGCTTTTTAGCTGGGTGACCTTGGGGAGTCACTTTACTTCTTTAAACCACAGGGTTGTTTTTTTTTTTTAAGATTTTTTTATTTATTTACTTGAGAGAGAATGAGAGATAGCACGAGAGGGAAGAGGGTCAGAGGGAGAAGCAGCCTCCCCGCTGAGCAGGGAGCCCGACATGGGACTCGATCCCAGGACTCCAGGATCATGACCTGAGCTGAAGGCTGTCACTTAATCAATTGAGCCACCCAGGCGCCCCCACAGGGGTTTTTTATAGGTTAAAAGAGAAGAGAAGAAAAAAGATTTAACCTTGTCCGCTCCCAGTCTTTTATGAGAATTAAATTGTGTGCATGTGTGTTTGCACAAAATTTATATGCCCCAACTTGTTGAATCACTCTATTGTGCTCCTGAAACTAATATAACACTGTATGTTAACTACCTGGAATTAAAATAAAAACTTAAAAAAAATAAAGTGTGCTGAAACAGGAATAAACCCAAATTTATGTCCCCTACTTGCTCAGTAAACTGTAGCTATTTATTTCGGGTCACATGTTACATTATGTGCCTCATGCTTTTTAGCCTCAAACTAGATTGCTAGCTTCACAGAGGCAGGAATCACCTTCACTTTCTTGTGGTTGTCTGTGGCCTCCAACTCTTCTCAGTGAACTCATACTCCCTATGGCTGACCAGAAAGATACATCCCAATGCTCACTGAACACAAACATCTGCAAATGGTTAAGGGCCTTCGCCCATCCCACTTGCTCTCACTATCTTTGCCCCACAGGAAGTTCTTGAAATTTCAGGGAAGGAAATGAAAGTTATCAGAGAGAGAATGAAAGTAACCATAATGAGTTGGGCCAACGAAATTTTTAGAACCCTTGTCAAATCGCAGGCAGATGTGCTGCTTATTCCAAAATAGTAAAACGGAACCTAATCTGAGTACCTAATCTGATCTTGAGTTTGTAATTAAAAAAAACAAAGTAAGGGGCGCCTGGCTGGCTCAGTGGGAAGAGCATGTGACTTGATCTCTGTTGTGAGTTCAAGCCCCACATTAGGTATAGAGATTACTTAAAAATAAAATATTTTTTAAAAAAGTTTTTAATAAATAAATGTCAAACTAAGATATAATTACTCTATAGTATGGTTATTTAAAAATTATTCTCCCAAAAGGGGGGAAAAAGAAACCCTAAACTTGTGAAGCATCTGCCCCTGGGGTATAGTATGGGGGTATGGGGGGAGAGCTTTATATTTATTGTTACCTACGCTGTCTTAAGGGAAAAGCATCCTTGCCTTGAGCTTCTTCCTTTGCCCCTGGGGATGCTACCGCTCCTCTTAGCTTCTTGACCACTCTCTCTTAGAACAGGGACAGAAGCTCACTTCACACCATCCATTCCCTCTCCTTCTGGAATGTTCTGTCATACCTGCTCTCTTCTCAGGCACAAAATCATACCCCTGTAAGAGTCAGCGTGACTCCTTGAATCTCCCTCACCAACCTAGACTCCTTTAAAGGTCCTGCTGTACTTCTCATTGCACTAATAATAACAATAAAATTCACCTTACAGTACAAGGACTTCATGTAAAGGTTCTAACTCCCAACAGAAAAATTCCTGAGATATCCGGCATCCAATCTAACATTGTATTGTCTAAGGGTAGAGTAGTAACCAAAAATGAAGGGGTGCCTGGGTAGCTCAATCGGTTAAGCATCTGCCTTCTGCTTAGGTTATGATCTTGGGGTCATGATCTCAGGGTCCTGGGATGAACCTGGTGACAGCCTCCCTGCTCAGCAGGGAGTCCGCTTCTCCCTCTGCCTGGGCCCCTCCCCCAACTCGTGCACTTGCTCTCTCTCTCAATAAATAAAATCTTTTAAAAATATAACATGGGAAGATAGCCTCCAAAATCATGTAAAATAAATCCCACTTGTTTATTGCCCATAATACTTTTACTTATTAATGAATTCAGTTTGCTACTGTTTTGTTTAGGATTTTTGCATATGAGTTCATAAAGAACAATAGCCTGTAGGTCTCCTTTCTTTGGATATCTGTATCAGTGGCCTCATAGAATGCGCTGGCAAGTGGTCCTTCCTCTATTATCTGATTGGGATTAGTTCTTTAAATATTTAATAGGTTTAAGCAATGAACTAAAATTATGTGGAATGATATAAGCTTATTTGGTTTGTTAGTTTAGTTTATTAAGCATTTCTCAAAATCCAGAAATTATTAAAATTAAGTATGAAAAAGTTGGAGATAATTCAAAATTATAGCATTTAATATTACAAGGGTAAGAAGGAATTGGGGCATAATTGATATTTTGTGGATTCAAGAAAACTTGTACCATTGGATTAACAGAACAGCCTTCTAATGCCAATCAAAATGTATATTTGAGTAATCGATTTACAGGAGTAGAAAGTGAAATGTATTAAATTTATGTAGATTGTTGGAACATTTAAGAGAACACAAGTTTTACATACAGTATTTATAAAAAGTTGGTAAATTATTTTGGAAAGCTCAGCTAGTCAGAGTTTACTTCTTTATCACGCACAGTACTTGATGGGGACCTTGTGAAACGCAGATTATGCCTCAGTAGGTCTGGAGTGGCAGGGCTTTGCATATCTTTAACATGCACAATAATCACTGAGCACCCTGTAGACAGGCAGGTTTTATGCAGTAGGTCTTGGGTGGGGCTAGATTGCATTTCTAATAAGTGCCTCCATAAAGCCAAGGTTCCAGGGACCACACTCTGGAGTAGCAAAGTGGGCAAGTGAGTGTTTAAAAAGGAAATCTAATGGATTGTATTTATTTATTTATTTATTCCTTTTTCTTCAGAAAATGAGAGCGCACAAGATGGGCAGATAAGCAGAGGAAGAGGGAGAGGGAATCTCAAGCAGACTCTATGCTGAGTGGAGGAACTAGACACGGGTCTTGATCTCACAACCCTGAGATCATGACCAGAGCCGAAATCAAGAGTTGGACACTTAACCGAGCCACCCAGGCGCCCCTAATCGATTGTGTTTATAAGTGCAGTTTAAAATATTTGAAAGTACTTAAGTGTGTAAATGAGACTGAGTGATATTTGAAAGCCTTTTAAAGGTGATCTTTCAGATTTGCTCGACGTAGAGGAAGATTTTTAAGTAGACTGTATAACCTTAAAACAGAAACAAGTTTTTAAATTTGTACTTTGGCTAAAGTCAACCATAATTTTTTTAAAAAAGTCAAAATAACTGAATGGCTATTTCTGAGAACTGCCCACAGGGATGTCCAAAACTCGTAATGTAACCCCAGTTTTTCTGCATGCCAGACATTGTGCTGGACGTTCTATGTGTGTGTGTTTAGCTCTTCACGTGACAACACTATGAGATGGTCACCATCACTATGTCCTCTTTACAGGTGAAGATGCTGAGCTTGCCCAGATTGTAATATTAGCTGGGGTAGATGGACACGCAAACCCAAAGCTGACTCTTCACAGCCTTGCTCCCCCCAGGCTATGTTGTCACAACGTGTCACAGAGCGTCCGTCCCTACTACCAGAGGTTCTTAACTTCGGGTCCAAAACATCAAGAGGTCCCTAAGCTCCGTGAACCTGGGGTCTGTGAACCTGAGTGGGAAAAAAAGTTATGTCTTTAGTGTCACTAAATGCTCATTGAAATGTAGCATTGTCTACAATTATGAATGTGGGCAAGAGACCACAGTTTATTAACACCACCTATGACTTTCTCATCGTGCCCCTGGATGCTTTCCTCCCTCTTCATAATCCTTGAGATCCCTCATCTCTACTTCGAAAGTACGGTGGTTATTAAACATGCTGTCAGATCTTGTCGCTTAATGCATTCCTGAAGAAGCCCAATTTGCTTATATTTGACACCTGTATTTCCAAAAATAATTAGTTTCTTTGGCAATCTTGTGTTTTATTTTATGCATTTAAAAATATTACTCTCAGGTTTGCACTTTCAG